TGTAGTGGAGAGCTGGTGTTACACAGCCTATCTCCACTTTAGATCCCAGGGAGGTTCAGGAACAAGCAATTATAAATCCATAGGGTAAAGTATCCAGCAGGCAAAATAACACAGCAGTATCCCAACAGCAATCCCAATCCCAATAACTGCACGACACACAGTATCAGGAGCAGAACTAAACATTTATTCAGACAGTGGCCTTATAAAGCCTGCTCCCATGCAAGGGAGGGATTTCCATTAATTTGTACAGTAGCCAATCCTGCTCTGGTAACCTCCCACACATCTCCTCCCCTCAGCCTGCATCATAATCCTCTTATCCAGGACACCAATTCCCCCCGTTTCTGGATGTACCCCTAAACCTAGGGGTACCACTTTAAATTATACATCCCCTGGTAGCCCTGATCTGGGTGAACAACATATCCAAAAATCACCCAGATCAGACTAGGGGTTCGGGAAATTTATGGAGGGGATAAAATGACCGACCGCACTGGAAAGAACAGCCGAATGGGGTTCCATGCGATGGGGCCCTGCGGTCGGTCCTGGAGTAAGGGAACAAACTGCATGAAAGCCTCCAGCTACAGAGACTAGAGAGGGTTCGCCTGAATCCCCTCGTTCGGTTGTTTCTATCTACCGAACGAGGGGCCGTTCAGTAGTTTGGAACCGAACGGACCGGGCTTGTGGAGGTCTCAGCGGTGTTCGCCTAGTCAAGTGTCCGATTTGAGTTCCATACACTCGATGGCAAAACACCGCTGTTCGGGAGTTTTAAAATGGCCGCTGCCACGTGTTCGTTTCCTGAATGGCGGCCACCCCCGAGAACAAAGGACTGCTACTAAGCTTGTCAATTACAATTGAAGGCACACTTCACACAGGGGAGGTCTGACTGTTCGGTAGTTTCATTCAAACAAACTAAGGGAATGAAACTACCTAAAAATCAGACGAATACAATACATTTAATACATATAACTTTGCCATTTTACACGAATGTATTCAAAACACATGTAATTCTCAGGACAGCCCAGTGCCATCCGCTACACACCTTTCATACTAGAGCTGGCTTAAAGCTCTCAAAAACATGAGTAGGACCATATATAATTTTATTCTTATTTTTATATTTTATGGACATATTGAACCATTATCCTCTCTTTCTTTCCACATATGGACCGCATCTGATACCCCAAGAAGAACATTTTCCTTGAACAAGTTTGTGTTTGCTCTTCCGGAAAGTATATACCATCATCTTTTACTGGACTCTATCTTGGACGTATATTTAATATTTTATTTTTTATCATTCTATTTATTACATAGTTACATAGTTACATAGTTATATAGCTGAAAAGAGACTTGCGTCCATCAAGTTCAGCCTTCCTCTCATTTGTTTTTTACTGTTGATCCAAAAGAAGGCAAAAAACCCCAGTTTAAAGCACTTCCAATTTTGCAACAAGCTAGGAAAAAAATTCCTTCTTGACCCCAGAATGGCGGTCAGATTTATCTTTGAATCAAGCAGTTATTACCCTACATTGAAAGATTATATCCTTAAATATTCTGTTTTTGCAAGTACTCATCTAGTAGTTGTTTGAACATCTGCATGGACTCTGATAAAACCACTTCTTCAGTTAAAGAATTCCACATCCTTATTGTTCATACAGTAAAAAAACCTTTCCTTTGACTTAGACGAAATCTTCTTTCTTCCAGTCTAAACGCATGACCTCGTGTCCTATGTAAAGTTCGGTTTGTGAATAGATTTCCACACAATGGTTTGTATTGGCCCCGAAATTATTTGTATAATGTTATCATATCCCCTCCCAGGTGACGTTTTTCTAAACTAAATAGGTTTAAATTTGTTAACCTTTCTTCATAGCTGATATGTTACATTCCTTTTATTAATATTGTAGCCCGCCTCTGCACTTTTTCTAGTGCCATAATATCCTTCTTTAGAACAGGTGCCCAAAATTGCACAGCATATTCAATATGTGGTCTTACCAGTGATTTATAAAGAGGCAAAATTATATTCTCATCCAGAGAATGAATGCCCTTTTTCATGCATGACAATACCTTACTGGCCTTGGCCACTGCTGATTGACATTACACATTGTTGCATATTTTGTTGTCTATAACAATTCCCAAGTCCTTTTCGTGTGTTGTTATCCCTAATTCACTTCCATTAAGGGTATACGTTGCTTGTGTATTCTTTACGCCGAAGTGCATAACTTTGCATTTTTCAACATTAAATTTCATCTGCCATATGAGTGCCCAGTCCCCCAGTCTATCTAAATCCATCTGCAGCAAAGTAATATCTTGCTCACATTGTATTATTTTACAGAGTTGTGTGTCATCTGCAAACACTGAAACATGACTTTCAATGTTTTCTTCAAGATCTTTTATAAACATGTTAAATAGAAGGGGTCCCAGAACAGATCAGCAGAAACCATGAATACACTCATGAAGGCCGCCTGCTACACCTGTACCAAGGCATTGCTCCAGCCACACTGGCAAGAAGAAGGGAGTGGAAACCCAAAGTGTATCTTGTAATGATCTAAGTATATATATACACATATACATATACACACGTACACTGTATAGGTGTATTTTACTATTAATATATATATAATTATATATATATATATATATATATATTAATATCAAATTACACGTAGACTGATACTGATTAAATATATATATATAATTATTGTTATATATATATTTATATATAATATATAAAAAAATGTAATATGTAAATACATAAAAAAATAAAATTAAAAAATAATTAAAAATAAATAATTAAAAAATATATAGATTTGTGTTATTTCGTTCTAACTGTATTGTGATATTAATATATATATATATATTTATATCAAAATACATGTAGAACGAAATAATATATATATCTATATACATAAATATATACGTATATATCACTATATATATACCTATATATAAATAAAAATATGCATATATATTCAAATACGTATATATATATACATATATTAATTCTACATATATATTTATGTAATATTTTTACATAATTGGGTATCTTAATTAATTACAATTAGCGGGACCTGCCTGACAACACATGCCAAAAGTAAAGGGAATTTAGTTTGCTAGCACTATATTTAACCCTATAACTTTCCAAGACACCATAAAACCTGTACATGGGGGGTACTGTTCTACTCGGGGGACTTCGCTGAACACAAATATTAGTGTTTCAAAACAGTAAAATATATTACAACGATGATATCGCCAGTAAAATTGACGGTTTTTGCATTTTTCACGCACTTACACGGACGATATTATTGCTGTGATACTTTTTACTGTTTTGAAACACATATATTTGTATTCAGCGAATTCTCCCGAGTACAACAGTACCCCTCATGTACAGGTTTTATGGTATTTTCAAAAGTTACAGCGTCAAATATAAGGCTTGTGTTTCATTTTTTTCACATTAAAATTCGCCAGATTGGTTATGTTGCCTTTGAGACCCTATGGTAGCCCAAGAATGAAAATTACCCCTATGATGGCATACCATTTGCAATAGTAGACAACCCAAGGTATTGCAAACGGGGTATGTCCAGTCTTTTTTAGTAGCCACTTAGTCACAAACACTGGCCAAAATTGGCATTTTTTGCATTTTCACACACAAACAAATACTAACGCTAACTTTGGCCAGTGTTTGTGACCAAATGGCTACTAAAAAAGACTGGACATACCCCATTTGCAATACCTTGGGTTGTCTACTATTGCAAATGGTATGCCATTATGGGTGTAAATTTCATTCCTGGGCTACTATACAGTCTCAAAGGCAACGTAACCAATCTGGCGAATTTCAATTTCACATGTAACGTGCTATATTTGACCCTGTAACTTCCCAAAACGCCATAAAACCTGTACATAGGAGGTACTGTTTTACACGTGAGACTTTGCTGAATACAAATATGTGTATTTTATTGCAGTAAAAGCAAACAGTATTATGACATTGACAGTTAAAATGTCATGTAGAACTAAAAAAATAAAAATAAATCTTAATTTCTCAGATTTTTTTCATATTAAATTATGTTTCATAGCTAAATATTTGATATTAAATGAAAGCCCTGTTTCCCCTGAATAAAATGATATATAATAAGGGTGGGTGCATTTAATATGAAAGAGGTGAATTACGGTTGGACAGACATTTAGTGCAAATGCCAGGTTCTGTTTACATTTTGTTTCGTTCACAACGTGTACATTTGGCTCCGTCCTTAAGGGGTTAAAGACGAAAAGACACTCCACATACTAAACCGAAAATGCTGACAACCCCCCGTGGCAAACATAGCCACTTGGACACTATAACGAGACTGTGCCTTTAAGGGTTGCCTATATGGTTGGGAGATACGGGCTTAACTATGTTGAATGTATACGGGTTGTATTTACATGTATTTGTTGTATTGGCTATCTGCCGAATGCAGATAGCTGTTTGTATTGGATTTTTCTTTAGTTTCACGAACGGCACTTTTGCGGGCCGTTCGTGAACCGAAAACACCCCCATGTAATAGCCCACACACTTAGAGGCTCTCCTAGGTGGCCGGTAATTAGAGGCTCTCCTAGGTGGCCGCCGTTCGACTACCGACCATGCGGCGGTCGGCCATCTTGGATCCTTTGTTCCCTCAGCGGTGTTAGGTCGTCGAGCGCATGGTACTAAAAACGGCTACTCGACGGCACGAACACCGCTGAACCTCCAGGCCGTTCGGTACTTTATACCCTGGAAGGCAATCGGTCATTTAAACATGTCTTTTAATAAATGTGTTTTTCGTGCGGCGTTCGGTTGTTTTAGCTGGGATCTGAGCGGTAATCTCACGAATGATGCGCTCAGACCCCAGCTATCTACCGAACGTCCATTCATGCAAATAGACCGTATATTACTACAGTTATGCATTTTAATACGAATTGTAGGTTCTGCTGCACGGAGGGATAATCCACTTAACGGTATATTCCAGTGGGAGGATCCCTCTCGTGCAGCAGTGCCTGATGGGAGAAATAGCTTGTACAATAAGTCCCCCATGTAGTCCCCTCTGGGACTGCCCCTGGGAAGGGACTCAGGAAACCCCTTGCATGGGGACTTGTATAAATTGTGGAGCTGAAATAAAAGACCTCAGTTGACTCTCAGAACTGTGTTTTGTCCGGTTACTGCGAGATTTGGGATATTGCCTTGCTTTTTCCAGCGCTCGACTGTGGATTATTTCCTGAACCAGCGGAATTCGTGGATTTAATATTGGCGTTCCGCTACAATTGGTGGCAAGCGACGGGATCCAACTCTACAGCCGAATACAGCGCATTCGAATGAAAGAAACAACCGAACGGAAAAAGGGAATGGCAATTCGTATGCAGCAAACAGACGAAAGAGATCAGTGAATGGGGACTGATTACACGACTTTGAAAAGGCAGACGCTAAAGGAACTGCTGGAGGCTAGAGGGAAAAGCGCTAGCAATAAATCAAAGGCAGTACTAATTGCAGAACTGATGGAGGGCTACCGAGCACACAGCAGCCCACCCCCACCAGCCAGGGAGGAAACCCCATATCAGAGGGAACTGAGAACCCGGCTGGAATTTTTTACCCCAGCCAGTAACCCTGGACATCTTGACCGTCCTGATGGCAGACGTACAGGAATACATTATTGCACAACAGTACCAGGGGGCACCATCCAGGGCAGAATCCATCGCTAATTCATTCTGCGCTCCAGTGAAACAGAAGATACCGTACCAGGCGTTTAAAGCATTCTGTGAGGAGAAGGATGAGATTGACGGGTATCTGCAGGATTTTGAGCGGCTATGTGACCTACACGACCTGGAGCAGGCAGTGTGGGTACCCCTGCTAGCAGGCAAGTTGGCAGGGCGGGCAGCAGAGGCCTATCGCGCTGTCCCCAGAGAGGAAAGCAAAGACTATTTCAAAGTCAAACGGGCGATCCTAGAGAGATATGCCATCACACCGGAGGCGTATCGGCGCAAATTTCGGGGATTGTGGAAGCCTGAAAAAGATTCCCACGCTGAGTGGGCACATAAGCTCGACCAAGCTTCGCAAGGGTGGATTCAGGCCAGCCAAGCCACCACCATGGAGGAACTGTGCCAACTAATTTTACTGGAGCAGTTCTTTAACGGACTTTTACCAGAGGCACAAGAATGGGTAAGGGACAGAAAACTCCTCACCCTAACTGAAGCCGCCCGGTTGGCGGATCAACACTTTGATGCCAGGAGGCATCATGGGCCCACCAACAAGGGTCCCCTGAGACCACCTGTACAGCACCACCCGACCACCTAGGCACCAACCAACTCCACTCCATTCCGGCCAGCACCAGGAAACCCCCCACCACCATCCCGCTACAATGGCAGGGCAAACATCCAATGCCATACCTGCCGTCAGTGGGGGCATATGTCCCGGGAGTGCACCCAGAATCGGAGTAGACAGGCGTGGAACCAAGTGCGGCAGAATTCCACCCAAAGGGCAGCGGCGCATTATTACCACGCAGAACCAGACACCCCTGAGCTGATGAGCCTGCAGGCCGAGGAACCCCTGGGGGTTTTGTATGAGGTAATGTCTGTGCAAGCCACGGACTACAGGCAGCACCACCGTCAAGTTGTGTTTGTGGGGGGGAAAGAAGTACAGGGGCTGAGGGACTCGGGAGCCACTTTAACCCTGGTTGCTCCACATTTGGTCCCAGATACAGCCCACACTGGCGGATCGGTGGCAGTCAGGGTGGCAGGGGGAGCCATGTACCGTCTACCCACTGCAAAGGTGCATTTGAACTGGGGTGCTGGGGAGGGGGTTGTGGAAGTGGCTATGATGAAAAAGTTACCGGCAGATGTCGTATTGGGGAATGACTTGGGCCAGATGACTTCGGCCTTCGTACCTCAGGCCCCTTCGCAAGAAGCTCATCCCATAACTACCCGGCAACAGGCTCGCACCACGGTTCCACCAGCACACTCTGAGGCTCAGGTAAGAGACCATGACTCCCCTCGACTCATATGACCTGGGACACCCCGACCACCTTTGAAGCTGAGGTCCAGACAGACCCCACACTGCAGGTGTACAGGGATAGGGTGGACACGGACCAGGTAGGATGGGAGGGGGAGCGGTACATTTGGGAAAACAAATTGTTGTACCGGATAGCTGAAAGGGCGATAGGGAGCTCTGTGACAGTTCAAACCAAACAGCTGGTAGTACCCCAGAAATATAGACCCGAGTTATTGAGAATAGCTCATGACATCCCTCTGTCTGGCCATTTAGGGATGACTCGTACCCGGTATCGCTTAACCCACGCTTTCTTCTGGCACGGGATTTCTAAAGATGTAAGGCACTATTGTACCTCCTGTGATGTGTGTCAGCAGGTAGGTAAGAGAGGGGATCGCCACAAAGCGAAACTGTGTCCCCTACCTATAATTGAGGAACCTTTTAGCCGTGTGGCCGTAGATATAGTGGGACCGCTACCCAAACCCAGCCCCTCTGGGAAGCGGTATATACTGACCGTGGTGGACTACTCCACCCGGTACCCCGAGGCGATTGCCCTAACAAATATTCATGCGGAGACAGTGGCAGAAGCCCTGATGAAAATCTTTTCAAGAGTAGGGTTCCCGCAGGAAATTATCTCCGATAGGGGGACACAATTTATAGCCGAGGTCACCCAGCAGCTATGGAAAGTATGTGGCATTAAGCTGATCGTTAACTCTGCTTACCATCCCCAATCCAACGGATTATGTGAGAGGTTCAACGGTACTTTAAAACAGATGCTCCGTACATTCGGGGAGACCCATAAAGACTGGGAGCGGTTCCTTCCCCATCTGTTGTTTGCATACAGGGAGGTACCCCAAGAATCTACCGGCTTCTCCCCATTTGAGCTGTTGTTTGGGAGAAGGGTACGGGGACCGTTGGACCTCATTAGAGAGCATTGGGAGGGGGAGAGTAGCGCAGATGGGACCCCTATTGTACCATATGTGCTGGCGTTCCGGAATCGCCTGGAGGAATTGACCCAGGCAGTGCGCACTAACCTCCAGGCCGCCCAACAACGTCAGCGCCGTTGGTATGACAGGGGGGCCAGAGACCGTAGTTTTCAAGTGGGGCAGAAGGTGTTAATTCTCAAACCTGTCCGCACAGACAAACTACAGGCCGTCTGGCAGGGCCCATACCAGGTGGTAGAGCAGAGATGCGATACCACCTATGTGATTGGCCCATGCTCCAGGGTAGGGAAGCGACGCATGCTCCATGTGAACATGCTCAAACCCTACCACGAGAGAACCGAGGACGTGGCAGCCATTTGCACTCCCGCCTAGGAAGATCAGGAGAACCTACCTCTCCCAGATCTGTTAGAGCAGGAGGAGCAGAAGGAGCCCTCCCAGGGGGTTCAGCTGAGGGAGCGGCTAAGTCCTCAAGAGCGCACCCAAGTACAGGAACTGATAGCGGCGAAGGGCGCCACCTTTTCTAACTTACCTGGGTACAGTCCACTGGCCACTCACCGAGTAGAAACCCCGGGACAGCTTCCTATGCGACAGACCCCATATCGGATTCCCGAATCCATACGGGAGCATATGAGGAAAGAGATTGAGGAGATGTTGCAGTTGGGGGTTATCGAACACTCTGATAGCCCCTGGGCATCGCCGGTAGTCCTGGTTCCCAAGAAAGACGCTACAACCCGGTTTTGTGTGGACTACCAGAGGCTAAACGACAAAACCGTGTCGGACGCCTACCCGATGCCCCGGATGCCCCGGGCTGATCATCTACGACACATAGGGGCCGTGATAGATCGGATTGGAGAGTCAGGGCTTACCTTAAAAACAAGCAAGTGCCACATAGGGATTGCGGAGGTGCAATACTTAGGACACCGAGTGGGGAGCGGGCAACAGAAGCCTGAGCCCGCAAAGATTGAAGCCGTAGCCAAGTGGCCCACCCCTAGGACTAAAACGCAAGTCCTTGCTTTCTTAGGTACCGCCGGGTATTATAGGAAGTTTGTGCCCAATTACAGTGCCCTGGCCAAGCCCCTGACTGACTTGACGTGGAAAAACCTACCCAGACAGGTCCTCTGGGCCCCAGAGTGTGAACAGGGATTTAACCAACTGAAGACGGCTCTGACAAATGCTCCTGTACTTGCTGCTCCTGATCCAACTAAACGTTTTCTTGTCCACACAGATGCCTCCATGTTTGGATTGGGAGCAGTACTGAGCCAGGTGGGAGCAGATGGCGGAGAACATCCCGTAGCTTATTTGAGCCGGAAACTGTTTCCCCGAGAAGTGAGCTACGCTGCCATCGAAAAAGAATGCCTGGCCGTGGTGTGGGCCCTCAAAAAGTTATAGCCGTATCTCTATGGGCAACCCTTCTCTTTACTCACAGATCACAACCCGTTGGTGTGGCTGAACCGTGTGGCTGGAGACAATGCCAGGCTGCTGCGCTGGAGTTTGGCGCTGCAGCCTTTTGACTTTACTATCCATTATCGCCCGGGAAAACAAAACGGTAACGCCGACGGGTTATCTAGACAAACCGACCTTGAAAAGTGATCTGTGAGCCCTCCTCCGGACATCCCCAAGCCGATCCGTTGGGATCAGACTGTGTATGCCGGCTTGGTTCTGGGGGAGCATTGTGGCAAACATAGCCACTTGGACACTATAACGAGACTGTGCCTTTAAGGGTTGCCTATATGGTTGGGAGATACGGGCTTAACTATGTTGAATGTATACGGGTTGTATTTACATGTATTTGTTGTATTGGCTATCTGCCGAATGCAGATAGCTGTTTGTATTGGATTTTTCTTTAGTTTCACGAACGGCACTTTTGCGGGCCGTTCGTGAACCGAAAACACCCCCATGTAATAGCCCACACACTTAGAGGCGTGTGGCGCTTGTTAACCGATTGCAACAATGTTGCAATCGGTAATTAGAGGCTCTCCTAGGTGGCCGCCGTTCGACTACCGACCATGCGGCGGTCGGCCATCTTGGATCCTTTGTTCCCTCAGCGGTGTTAGGTCGTCGAGCGCATGGTACTAAAAACGGCTACTCGACGGCGCGAACACCGCTGAACCTCCAGGCCGTTCGGGAGCTCCGGGCCATTCGTTACTTTGTTTCCTGGAACATGTCTTTTAATAAATGTGTTTTTCGTGCGGCGTTCGGTTGTTTTAGCTGGGATCTGAGCGGTAATCTCACGAATGATGCGCTCAGACCCCAGCTATCTACCGAACATCCATTCGTGCAAATAGACCGTATATTACTACAGTTATGCATTTTAATACGAATTGTAGGTTCTGCTGCACGGAGGGATAATCCACTCAACGGTATAATAAGTCCCCCATGTAGTCCCCTCTGGGAAGGGACTCAAGAAACCCCTTGCATGGGGACTTGTATAAATTGTGGAGCTGAAATAAAAGACCTCAGTTGACTCTCAGAACTGTGTTTCGTCCGGTTACTGGGAGATTTGGGATATTGCCTTGCTTTTTCCAGCGCTCGACTGTGGATTATTTCCTGAACCAGCGGAATTCGTGGATTTAATATTGGCGTTCCGCTACACCCCCCAACAACCAAATAAAACAAAATAGTTAAATAAATAAATAACAGAACAAAAACAAAACACACACACAAAAAAAACCCCTCAAATTCAATATGATATTGCATAAGCTGTCCCCTCTCCCCCCCCAAATATAGAACACGGACCCACACAATAGATGGAAGAAATACAGCGTCCATACCATACTGGAAGATTCCAATCCAAGGGTGAATACAGCAAATAGCGGGTAGAAACCTCCTTTGAGACCAGTAACACATAGGGTTATTACAACTGTGACAGGTAAGGCTAAGATGCTCAAGGTCAACACTTAAACTGTAATGAACAAGGTCATATGAAGTGATGCTTTGGTGGGAATGTTTTGCTCAGCTCGGGGAAGGCGAGGTCACAGCCTCTGGGGATGAATGGGAGGGGACAGCATAAGGCCGACGGAACAGACAAAGTATGAGACACCAAGGTACAGACGTCAACGCAAGTACAATGGACTACTTCTGTATCCCAACAAACGCTTGCATAACTGAGCAATGGTAACCTAATCCAAGCACATAATAGACACAGAGATACAGACACACCAACCCATCCAGGACAGGACCAAACAGGGCCTACCACTAGGCAATGTTAGCAGCATGTACAACATGAAACCGTGCCCTAACAACACTGCTTGGACCTTGAGGGGCATGGATGGAGACTAACCGGGGCAACGACTGACACAGACAACTTCGACAGGGCTAGATAGCAAGGTTCAGAACGACAAATGGGTCATTCCTCAGGTTTATTTTTTATTTTTTTAATTCTTTATTTTTGAGTGCAGAGTTAAGCATACGTTTCAGCAATGTTAAATGGCTTTAAAGAGAGGTTGACAGCGTTTCACTTAGCATAGTCCTAATGTGCTGCACTTTTTTTTTTTCTTGACAAGAGTGATATCAAACAATTTAAAACAGGCTTGTGACGAAATGCCTTTTGTCACTGGATTGTTAGGTGACAAGCTGCCCTTTGCCCCCGGCTGTTGGAGGAGCCTGATTGCCAGCCTCCTTCCTCATGACTATGGCCCTGGGGTGTAGTGCCATTTAAAAAGACTATTTGGGGCTTATTGGCTTCTAAAGACTGTTTCTGCCCATTTGAATCCATGGGAAGGTGTGTCTCTTCCCCTCCCCATTTCCTGTCTATTGTTCTCCAGCAGGGCGTTGTCCCAGGCACACTGCCAAACCAGTTGGAACTGACTGCTTTTGTCCCTCCTTGGTTTCTCAACAGCCCTTGCTATGCTTTACCCCATGGCAAATTTACTCTGTTCATGGGATCTGAGCGCTGTTCACCTAGATTGGGCGCTCAGATCTGAGCTATCTGGGGATAGGTTAAATGTGGGGGTTCTGTGTAATATAATAAGAATGATGTATTTTTATGTCATTTTATGTATTTTTGCTGTTAGTGTAAAATGTAGATATTTTCTGTACCTGGAGATAATTGAGTTTACTGCAGTGCCTTAAGCCAATTATCTCCAGGATGGAGAGGAGGGATTTCACTGTGTATGTGGGAGTGTTATTATATTAATTAGTGTTCCCATTGGTTTGTGTTCATTTTGTCACAGTTTACCACTAGGTCCAGGGGGTGTGCCTCTGGCCTGAAAACTTGTATATAAAGAGTAATAAACGCTCATTGGAGTCAGATCATCTTGTACCTTCATGAAGTTTCGGCTCATGTTTGGGGGATTTGAGAACTACACTCTGGGGATTGCTATAATCACTATACTCCCCAGGGTATAATCACTAAGCTCTGTTACTGTTCCTGCTCTCTGGAATTCGGAGAAGTCGACCTTCTGGAAGCTGGACCCTGGTCTTGGATCCAGAGTGGGTGGAGACGAGGAGACCCCAACCAAGCTGCGGAGGTTCGTGGGGTCTGCAGTGGTTATGGTGTCGGGCAGAGTGCTTGGCAGAGTGCTCGGAAAGCACTAGGAGCATCCGTCAGCGGAAGGTACCCGGTCGGGTTGCCAGCGGTTCCGTTACAAGGCTTTTCCACATTTTCTTTTGTATGCATAATAACAAGAAATAGCTTCCATGTGTGCGCTTCTTAGAGGAGTTTTGTGTGTGTATTGTCTCAAGGGGCTAGACTCTCAGGTGTGCTCTTGTGATGTGAGGGAGAGTCAACTGAGGTTCGGCATGGAGGGTTGCAGTGGCATCTCTTGTGTATGCCTGTGGTGTTTTGTAGGAATTCCCCAGTGTATGGGGTGTCATTTGCCTAGTGGTTGAGATGTTGGAGTGTGTGGCTGGGTGTCATTTGGTGCTCTGCCAGGACGTCTGGGAGGAGATGTGTGTCCTCCTTTTTATGTGTGCCCCTAACCGAGGGGGCGGCGGGGGGGGAGGGGGGGTTGGTGTGTCAATGTGCCTCGAGATGCTAGTCTCTGCGGGTTCTAGCGCTCTAATAGAGCGGTGGTCTGAAGTGTGTGTAAGAGAGAGCTAGAGAGAAGAGAAATCAGGAAAGAACCAAAGAACCAAATATACAATTGCAACTTAGATCAAAACATGTATAACGACTCGTGTTGAGTTTTAGCCCAGTTGTTTTTATTCAGGTGCCGTGGCCATAAGTATTGGCCCAGTCCCCATTTGTCATCAGGTGTCAGTTGCCTGTGAGCCTCCGGCTCTCGGGATGAAGGAGGTGACTTGAGCAGGGTCCTATGTACCCCTGGGGGTGGTCTACTGTGGGTCCTGATGGCTGCCTGCTAGTCCCAGTGCTTGGAGGAAGGCATTCCTTCTATCGACATAAGTGTGTGGTTAGCTTGGTTGCGGGTTACTACAAGAGTTCCTGGGGCTCCCCAGCGGTAGAGTATGGCTGCAGATCTTAGTTGAGAGGTAACTGTGCTCAGTGATTTCCGCCAGATTAGGGTATTTTTGGTGAGGTCTTGATAGAATGTTAATGTGGAGTCATCGAAGGTCAGGGGTGTTTTATTCTTCAGCGCCATCATGATCTGGTTCCTATCTTATGAGGTTAAGCAGCGAAGAATGACGTCTCATGCCGCTCCAGTTGGTGTTTTAGGTGTGCCCGTAACACGAAACACTCCATCCACAGCCATCTTTTTGGCTGCTGTGTGTGGCAGTATGGATGCAATTAATCTGCGTGTGTAATGAGAGAGTTCCTCTGCGGTCACTGCAGCAGGGATGCCACGGATTTTTATGTGGTTCCTGCGCTGTTTGTCCTCCAGGGCTGAGATTTGGTATGTCAGTGTTACTTGGATGTTTTGCAAGTGTTGTACTGTCTCTTTAAAAGCTGAGGTGTTGGTTTTGGCAGCTAATATGTCCTTTTCAGAGGTTTGTACTCTGTCATTTATGGCCTGAATGTCAGTTCTCAGTGTTCTGAGGTCAGCTGTCCATACTTGCTGGATGTCATTAAGCAGGAGTTTTAAGTCCTGTTTTGTTGTGGGAGCAGTCCCATCTGGGATGTCAATTGGATGTAGTGGACTTGCCTGAATGGGTGTTGTAGATCCCTGTCCTTCCAGTGCCCTGTTCTCCTCATTCCGGTCTCCAGCAGGAGTCTGCTTAGGCTGTGCAGGCTGTCTCAACATGTCCCCTATATCTCTGCCGTCAGCCACTGTATTAGGTTTTTGGGAGCATCGACCCCATTGCCTTCCGGTGTTCCGGTTGTGGTAGGGAGGTTAGTGGCTCCGATCCCGGTGGGGGGAGTATGGTGCTGCCGCGGAGGAGTGCCTCCAGTCCCAGGCTTAGGGGTGTGCTGTAGGCCGCGATTTTTCGCCACGGTTTGGAGTGCCTCAGATTGGAGTACCGATGCGGTTCGGTTCTGGGGACCCAGCTATAATGGTATGGGGGTCGGATGGGCTATAGTTGCAGAGATATTTGGTTAGATTGAGTCAAGAGTGTGGGAGCTCTTAGAGATGGCGTTCGCTCATTAGGCTTGCAGGCTCCGCCCCCCCCCCCACAGGTTTATCAATGATTGTTTACCATTAATTGCTTATAATGTGAAATGTTTAACAGATGAAGAAGATAACATGGGATTACTTTTAAATGATGAACCACCGGAGCTGCGAAAGGGTGCTCGGTGTCTGAATACCCTTTCTGCAAGTAGTGATTCCCCTCATGGAACGGATGGTCACCCCTGGCAGGCCTGGCATAACATAAGACCGGGTTTCTAATTTTGCTCCACCAATTCGGCAGTTGCCATCCCAACTGTTGAAATACCACTACAAATTAATTTTTCTTAACATCTGCCCCCCAACCTCGGACCACTCGCCTCTAAGCGGACAGAAGGGAATGCAGAGATCTCACGGCTGTGGGGGGCAAAGACAAACTGCTAGCAAAGTTTATTCGCAGCACTGGGGTGCTGGATCCGTGGAGACTCCAATCCCCAGGAACCAACGATTACACATTTTACTCCACTGCCCACTCCACAAACTCGCGCATAGACCTGTTCCTTATTAATCAGGTGGGTCCCATGGGTCCAATCCTCCCGTATTAACCTTTTATCTTGGTCTGACCACGTGGATATAGAGTTCACATTACTCTTACCAGGCGCTTACCCCCATGGAAGTGGAGACTGAACGGGACAGTACTTAAAGATCATGACATAACAAAACAGATACAAGGCAAACTGGCCGAGTATTTCCAAACAAACCAAACGCCCGACCTTAGGCACTCTACAGTGTGGGCTGCCTTATTAAACTGGCGAAGATACGCAAGAGAAATAGAGTGGAGTACCTGTTTGAGCTGCAAAAAGAGCTGAGGCACAGACTGTGAAACCTGGCAGTGGAGGACCTGGGTAGGGACCGACTCTGAACCGAACATCTCTTTTATGAATGCTCCAATAAGATGGACAATCTTCTAGTTAGGGCATTAAACACAAAACCTAAATTTAAAACAATCACATCAAAGACCATAGTGGACGAATAGTCAACAATCCCACAAACATTTAACAGGGTCTTGGGAACGTATATGACCATTCACCAGAATTGACTAGCAAGAACGAGGTATTTAGCCAAGCGGTCAAGACATTCCTAGTAGAGGTTCGGCTCCCCACCCCGGACCAGAGATAATGCAAGCATTGGGGCGATATCAGCTCTTAAAGGTAACAAAGCCCCAAGACCAGACGGGTTAAACGGAATGTATTATAAGATCATGAGGGAGACACTGGTCCCTCATCTGGTGGCGGTATTCGCAGAATGGATAGAGGGAACGTGCCCGAACTCTGATATTACACTCATCCCCAGGTAAAGATAGTTACATAGTTACATAGTTACATAGCTGAAAAGAGACTTGCGTCCATCAAGTTCAGCCTTCCTCACATTTGTTTTTTGCTGTTGATCCAAAAGAAGGCAAAAACCCAGTTTGAAGCACAATTTTGCAACAAGCTAGGAAAAAAATTCCTTCTTGACCCCAGAATGGCAGTCAGATTTATCCTTGGATCAAGCAGTTATTACCCTACATTGAAAGATTATATCCTTGAATATTCTGTTCTTGCAAGTATGCATCTAGTAGCCGTTTGAACAT